TCATTGGACTTAGGGCTCACCTTACGACTCTTTGCTTCGGTTGAGCATTATTCCGACGTCGATCGATCTAGCACGCAATCACAGCTCGCTCCATCATTATATGATTTTTGATTGTCTGATCATAGCTGAAATTATTTATCTATTTATTGAATTTTTACCCTTGCTTAGTAGTCTCGTAGCAAGTTTTTTCAAACGTTGCTTTATCTTTTTTGAAAAATTTGTGTGTACGAAGTTCAAGTTTTCCCCTGAATCACCAAGAAATATTTTGGTTGTTTTTGGTGGATTTCTTATTACTAAATTAGATCGAGTGTCAACCTGTGAAGGCATCATTTGTTACCATGGATAAATTTCTCATATATAAATTTGTCATAATACATTTTTGGGAAGTGTGGGACTTGGATGTATTATCTTTCCGACTGACCAACGAATGATGAAAGCGCGACAAGTAGAAAAAAATCATGATGTTAACCTTGACTCCCAAACATATTGATCAGAGTTGCGAAATAAGAACGACATTTTTGAGCAGGGAGCAAGTCTAGTTAAAAAGAAGGTACGTGTGAAAAAAAATTCTTCTAATTAGAAGAGTCTTTAGAGAAAGTTGGTCAATGTAATCATCTCTAAAAGCACTTCAGAAATATGAAACTATTTTAAAAATTAGTTTCTAAAATTCTAAAATAAAATTTGAAGTAATTTCCTTTGGAAGCTCTTTTGCAGAAAACAAAATAAAAGATAATGCAAAATGGGTCCTATACATAATTGATAAACAATTAAATTGGAATCTATAAATAAATGACATTTGATCCTATATATTGAGAGGATATATTTAGCCCCTGCCCAATGTTTGGTATAGATTAAAATCAGACTTTTAATAGATTTTAATAAAAAATTTTGAGATATATGGTTAAAATTAATTGTTAACTTGAATTAATTTTTTTCCAATTTTTAAGCCACACCAAACAGATGCTCAACGATATTAATAATAACATTTCAAAACATGAAATTTTATAGGGTACAAAAAAATGTTATTAACATTTTTTTTATTTTCGAGAATTATTAATTTGTTTTAAAATTTTCATTCTTAGTTAAGAAATGTCCCTGACTAAGCATCCTTCGATAAATTCATAAATTGTATATAGAGAGTAGTAGTAAGAAGAATAGTAATGAATTTTATGAAATGTGTGGATAATAATGAGATAGTAATTATATATGTGTAGGTGAAATTAGTATTTAAATTTAATTGAAAATTTTAAATTTGTATCCAAACAGAGTCTAAATTCGAAACTTTACTTTTGCCTCTATGGCCCCAAATGTTCTTATCCAAGTAAAAACGCAAACAATTTAAGTTAACTTGTTTATAAGATTCTAAAACTATAATCACATTGAATATCGTACAATATAGAATTTTGCTACTATTTTGGGAGTGAAAAATAGTAGTCTTATAAGGAAAATTTGTACACTTCGTTCTCAACCTTTGCAAAATGTAACAAATCTACCTCAACCTTTTTATTAAAAGAAATTGTACTTTAAATCGAAAATTAAAAATCCACTTAGTTCATACAAAACAATAAGTCAGGGACTTCCCGAGTAATTTTTAATCTAGCAGTGAGGGTTTGATCAATACCTTTTGTTCAAGCTTGCCGAGCAAGGAATGCAATAAGACATAAATATTTCATCGGTCAAAAAGAGGGAACACATTTATTGACAAGGAATAGAATTAAATAACGTGTTTGACTGACATAGATTAAAATTAAAATTTTAATAAATTTCGATAAAAATTAATTAAATATATTGTTGAAAATTTGTAGATTTAATAAAATATATAATTAAAATTAATTGTTGACTTTAATTTGATATTAAAAT